GCCCAAAGCATCCAGGGACCGTCCCCAAAGCGTTCCGAGGGGGATTGGAGTATCCCAAACACGTCTCGAAACGGCCCCAAAACATCCTCAAAGCATTCCCGAAACGGCCCCAAAACGTCCTCAAAGCATTCCCGAAACGGCCCCCAAACGTCCTCAAAGCATTCCCGAAACGGCCCCCAAACGTCCTCAAAGCATTCCCGAAACGGCCCCCAAACGTCCTCAAAGCATTCCCGAAATGGCCCCAGAACATCCCAAAAGCGTCCCGAGACAGCCCCAAACCACCCCGAGGTGGCCTCAGAGCATCCCTGAATGGTCCTGAAACGGCCCCAAAACATCCCAAACACAGCCCGAGACGGCCCCAAAACACCCCAAAGATATCCCGATGGACACAAAGCATCCCCAGACTGCCCCAAAACATCCCAAATACACCCCAAGATGGTCCCAAAACTGCCCTGAGGTGGTCCCAGAGCATCCCCAAACCACTCGGAAATGGTTCCAAAACATCCTGAATACACCCCAAACCGGCTCCAAAGCATCACCAAAACACCCTGAAACAGTCCCAAACATCACCAAACCCCACCCAAAACCTACATAAAAAACATACCCAAACTCCACTCAAACCCACTGCAAAATCCCCTCCCAGAACAACCAAAAAACACCCAAAAACCCACCCCCAACCCCCCAGCCCAACCCCCCACAAAACCCACCCCCAAAGCAAAACAAAACCTACCCCAACACAACTGAAATCCACCCCAAACTCCACCCAAACCCACCCACAAAACAACCCCCAAATCCCATCCCCATAAACAACACACAACCCACCCCAACCCACCCAAAATCCCACCCCAAACACTTGTGTGGAGCTGATGGTGCCTCGTGGCCGCTGTGCCCATGCAGTGGTGGCACCACCTCCCACCAGAGCAGGTTGCTCAAGGTTTTATCCAACCTGGAATGAAACACTGCCAGGGTTGGGGCAGCCACAGCCTCCCTGGGCAACCTGGGACAGTGTCTCAGCACCCTCACAGGGAAAAACTTCTGCCTAAAATCTAATCCAAATGTCCCCTCTTTCAATTTCTCCCCATTGCTCCTTGTCCTGTCACTGCAGTTTCTAAGCAAGTCCCTCTGCAGCTTTCCTGGAGCTCCTTCAGGTCCTGTTTGCTCTGAGATCTCCACACAACTTTCTCTTCTCTGGGCTGAAAAGCCCCAAATTGTTCATCAGACAGACACTGATCAACTAAGACGTGTGTTTTTTAAAAGTGCAATGTATTAATAAACATTTTAATATATTTTGGTCTCAGTTAAGGCTATTACAACATGAACAGTTCTGTAAACCACACAGAAAATTGTCATAAAAACATTACAAAAAAAAAAACCAACAACAAAACCATTAAGGCAACACACATTGACCTAAACTCACTGTTGGTCCCATGAGGGTCCACTGTAAGGCAAATGGGAAAGGCACGGCAGCGAAATCAGGGGGTTTGTTTCCTGTACACTCAACCCAAGTATTTAACTCAGCATTAAGTTTGACTTAATTTGCAAGGTTTTAATTTAAGTGGAGAACATTTGCTTTAAACAGCCTTGCTCAACCCTGGCAGTACTGCACGCCTCGGGCTGCCATTCCCCACAGGACCATGAACAAGTTCACAGCCTTCAAAGGGTTAAAGCCAAAGCTGTGGTCAACTTCAGACAAGTCCAGAGAGCTGAAGTGTTTTTTCACTTCTCCATACAGGGAATGTGGGAATAAGGGTCCGAGAACCTCCGTTTGACTTTTGCTGTGGGTTCGTATTCGTCGGCGAGTTCCTGAGCGTGGGCCAGCGCAGAGCCCTGTGCAATGTACACCGAGTGGATGCTGTCGGTCCGTCTCGCCGGCTGCTCCCGCCGTCTCACCGGCTCCTGAGGCTCTTGGTCAGCAGAGATCCCACCCTGGGATTCCACACGTTTGAGCATCCCGGGAGGAAGTTTGATATTGGCCGTCGGCATCACCGGAGTTCGACGGGGCACCTTCATCTTGGACAGCGTGAGAGAGCATCGGCGCCTCGAGGCCAGGGAGGCAGAGGAAAGGTTTGAAGAGGTTTGCAGGAGAGAAGGCACTTTGCAAATGTCTTTGGCAGGCACATTGCAGCTCTGAGCACGGCAGGGTGACCCCATAATTGCTTTAAAGAAACAAGATACTTAGAGACCGAAAACAGGCACGGAACAGAACTCGATACGAGCGACAGTGCCCGGATAACATCTGGTCACCTGGCTGGACGCAGTGGAAATGGAGAATGAAAAAAAAAAGCACACACTACCTTAATACTGACCTTCGGTATCCACCCGGGCTGGCCTGTCCTCCAGCAGGCTCTCCGTGCTCGCCGACGTCTCCGAGTCCACGTTCTCCTCGTCGGAGCCTCGCTGGTCTAGCTCAGGCAACCGGTAAGTGATGTCCTCCCTGCACCAAACACAGGTTGCAGCACTCAACACACAGTGTCTCTGACACGAGCAACGTCATGCAGCTCATATCGAGAGGTTAAAGCATGTCATTATCAGGGGATTTTCCCTTAGCTGTTCCTTCCTTAGTGTTCTCCTTTTCCCCTTCACAGACCACAGTTAGACCCTTTTGGACAAAAGGCATTCTGCTTTCCCTCCTGTCCTGGCTCCACGTGCAAAGGGCAAGGCCTGCAAAGGTAAAGAAGGACTTACTTCTCTTCTTTGATTGACTGCAAGCGACCCATGAGAATCTCCTTTTCCCTGGTATTGGCTTCAGAAACTTCTTCCTCGTGCACTGAGTCCAGCTCTGAGGTGTCACTGTCGTTTCCTTTGACCTGAGAGGTTTTATTCTGTAAGACAAATTCGTGTGTAACACTTCTTAGTCACAAGCAGCTCCACACAAGTCTTGCCTGTCTGCGTGTTTCGGGATGAAAGACAGACAAGGCCAAAGGAAAGGCTGATGGAGTTGATGAAGAGCTGTTAGTTATCCATAGAGATGTTTCCAAAAGTCACAGAAATATTTCTGTCCACCTGATTTCTGGGGGTTTGTTACCTTTTTGGATTTCCAGCCTCAGCTTAGTTTAGTAGTCACTTATAAGTACTATTATTACACCCGAGTTACAGAGTGTGGTGAGGACCAGGCCAGCAGCCCTGCATGCAGTCTGGGGAGGAAGCTGCACCAACCCATGCAGTTCTGAGTGTCCAGAAGTGTTTAAAACCAGAGTTACAACACGCAGTAAGTATTTTAGTCATGCAAGAGTACGTAAGGGAAGACCATGCACTAGGCCCAGGCAGTGTACGTACCAGCTTCCCCTCGTAAGGGGAAGAAAACCCAAGTTTTACAGGCCAGAGCTAGGGAGAGATGGAGACCAAATTCACTATATGCAGCTTCTGATCAGACACAGTTTGGTTTGGTTTAAGCAGTACAATAAAAACAGAGAACAAGTGCATTTGACCTACTGGAATGCAGCATATATTTGCCCACCTGCCAGCTCTGGAGTGAAGGAACTCCTCTGCCATGTCAGACTCAATCTTAGTCCAACTGATGGAACTATGTGGGAGCAGATTTTGACCACTACAAGCACAGATTCCCACCCTGCACCCTTCAAACTCCAGTGCAGCTGTATATTCAGCTCCAACCTACATCTCTGGACAAGTACAAATCCCTTTCCTTCTGATCTTGCAGTTGATATTTGACTTACTGAATGGGATGGACAGACAACTAAGCAGCACATGCCTTCCCAAGAAGCTGCTGGGAGGGTGTGTTTGTGTGGTTTATGTCGACACTTACCGTGTTCTGCCGCAGCAACGAGAGGCGTCGGAAGGCAATGCTCTCTGCTGCTTCCAGCTGACTGATCTCCTCCATTTTGATCTTGTACTTCCTTATCTGCTCCTTTATCAGCATCTCTACACACCTGGATGAAAAGGGCAAGAGCTCGTTGAGCAGTCTTGTACCATAAAAGGTCTGGAACAATCATGGTGGGATGAGATGGCTCTCCTGGCCTGGGGGTGTCTGTCACACACAGGGATGGTGTGCAATCAGTGTCCCAACACATCCCCACAGGTAAGGGTGAAGAGTCCAACACAGCAAGCAGAACAGGACAGGTAATGGTTAAAGGGAATGGCAGATGTTCTTCCTGGGCTGACCAGAGCTCCCCATGCTGACTGTACACAGTGGTGAGCAGATAGACACTACCATGGCTGCCAACAGCTTCTGCTGCTTCTACCTGTCTTCCCTGTGCTGGCACAGAACCAATCTGGCCCTTTTCCACCTCTGTGGCCCCAAAGACACAAAGCTGTCATTTTTCAAGCTCTGTTTTCATTCACGGCCAGCCATGCAGTGAGGATGGTGAGGGGCACTCAGAGCCAGAGCTGCTGGAGGGTGAGGAAAACAGAAAAGATCAAGGACAGAACTTTCTCCAATTCAAGCCACAACAGAGAAGAAATTATCATGGATTTCCAAATATGCAAGAAACACTTAATTCTATATCATACTGATTATGATGACCTGTGTCTCAGCAAAACAGATGATTAGTGCATAACCCCCCAAAAAACATTATCCTGATGTAAAATACAAAGCTGGTATTTCAGACTTAAGTGTTCAATTGGCAGCACTGGCAGGGCCAGAATTCAGCAACTCTTAACCCTCATTTTCTCAGCTCAGTGTGGCTAAGGTTGTAACAAATGCAGGCAGTGGTACTGGCTTTCCATCAGGTTTCAAAGTCCTGCTTCCCAACAGACTACTAAAACTTACATGGTTGCTTTTGAAACGTCCTTCATGCTGGTTAGAGGGTCAGAGGTGTCGGGACAGCGCAAGAGGCACGGAGCAAACACGATGGCCAAAGCATTGGGTGACATCCTGTTGACATCTTCTATCAAAGCTACTCTGAAATCCAAGGGTCAGGGAAAAAAAGATGTTAAGTGAACCTTGCTGGAATACCAGAAACCTGATCAAACCCTGCCAGAGGTCCCAAATAACACACAAGTAAGGCCTCTCAGGCACAACAGTCCAAAGAAGATTCCAGATGGTTTCACACCCACTAAGCAGACAAAGCTCCCTGCACCAGAGAGAGGACCAGGGAGCTACCCAGGCTAAGCCAAGTCTGGGAATCCCTCAAATTATGTCTGATGATTCGGGGTCTCCTCTTCAAAAATCTCTTTTCCCTGTGTTCGAGGCCACGTGGAAAATCCTCAAGTTCCTTGGATAAGCACAGCCCCTCTCCCAGCAGCATTTACCCCTGCTCCCAAGACTTGTCTATGTGCATGCACTTAGAATCCTTATGCTGAGCTCCTCAGTTCTCTACAAGGCCCATCTGTACCAACCCTGGTGTTCAGATGGTTCACCAAGGCTTTGAGATCTACCTTGGCCTGGTTTGCTCCAAACTCACCTGTTTTCAAGCACAACTATCACCTTCAATAGTTTCCTTTCTAAACCAGCAGCACAATCCCTACACTGACACTCAAGGGGTTTAAGATTGTAGAAAGCTTCCACAAAGGACTCAAGTCACACACTTCCACTGCAAATGAAGTAATTAAACTCATTACTTGACAAGATGGAAGATGAGTCGTTCCAAGGTGTTATGGTTTGCTTGGGGGAGCTGTTCCAGGACACTGTAAATGGCACAGAGTTGCTCCTGTTTTCCTGGTAGTTCTGCACAAGGGTGAAAAAGCACAAGGTGTGTGAGGCTAGTGGAGACCACCAAGCACTTGGTGACAGTGTCTAAAATCGTCTGCAACAAATGCAGATTAAGGTCTTGGAAGTCTCACTGTCGTTTCATTGACCAACTCTCAATTGCTGGTAGCCATCACCAAGTGACACATCAAGACCTCCAACATCATCTAGGGTGCCTTAATCCCACTGAAGTGAAAAGAATCTAAGGATTTGAGCTATCTGGATATCCAGATCTGGTTCAGAAGGACAAAGAGAAGAAAAACCCTGCCTGAAAGCCAACTCCTTCACATGCTCACTGTTTCTACAAAGAGCAGGTGCACAGTGACATTATGCTACCCAAACAAGGAATCCTGAAGGAAGATCAAGTAAGCTAGAGGAGAAATTCTCCAAAAGTGCTTTATGCAACGTGCCTAAAGTACTTGCTGTAAGTGCACTGGAAGGAGCTGTTTAGCCAGCATGAGCATCTTAAGAGTTGATTTACCCAAGGACATCCTGAGTTAGAGAAGAAATGTTTGAAGAATAGCTTTAAAACCTACCCACAGCTCGGAGAAAATCACTGTACTGTGCTGATGTCATTAATGGGTCTGGCAATTCCCTCAACCACTGCTTAAGGATGCCTGTAATGGTGTGAATAGGGTAATTCTCCAGTTTCACTGAGTTTGGATCTGAAAAAGAAATGTTTTCTTTAGAGCACTTCATTCCTTTGATAGACACAATAGGACCCCAAAGAAATAAGGTTAGAAACACTCAACTCTTCACAAAATCCAAGTGGCAATTCAGAAGGAAAGAGTCTACTGATAGTCATTATAGGTGCTAAGAAGCTTTTTGCAGCCAGCAAAAACAACCCAGCCTGCATGGGCACCAAAAAGCTGTTTTTAAAACACTAAGAAGCTCTAGATACTTTCAGATAGAAGAGAATTGGAGGGACAACTGATGTGCAAGGAAGTGCAAAGGTGGACAACATTCCTGACCTGCTTGCAGCAGCTGTTTCAGCTCCTTCATACGATTTGCTGATCCAGATTTCCTGTAGATGCCTTCTGTGTACAGCCCATGCATCTCCACATACTCCAGCAGCTTCTCCATGACCACAGGGACCGAGTTCCTCTCGCTGGTCAGGGAGCTCACACACACTCCAAAGTGTCGTGGCTCTGTGTCCTGCTCACTCTGCCATGGATACAGGTGATACACTGTCAATACCTGTGCCCAAGCTAGAAAATTCCATTGTTTCAGCCTACAATTAGCTTAGGCTTCCAGAAACTAAGGCTGAGTGTTTTATTCTAGCTTGCCACAAGCCTTTGATCATAAGGCAGATTTCCTGAGCAGCAATAAAGAAACATTCTGGTACACACTGAAGGATTTCTTTAAGTTTGTCCAACACAGCACAACACTCTAAGGGTTCCCAAATTAGCTCAAGCATCTCCTCTTAGAAAGATGTTCTATTTCTGCAAGTGCAGGATCTGCCTCTGACTATATGCAGACAGAGAAGGGAACTGCTGGAAGCAATTTTCCTGGTCATGCACAAAGAACCACTCATGGTACCACAGTATCCCATCCCAGACCTGTGGGCCTTACCTTTTTATCACAGGAGGTACAGCTGCTCTGGATTTTGGACATGCATTTCTTGTGACAAGTCAACTTGCAAACTAGAGAAAAGGAACAATGGTTATGAGGATTCCGATCCCGTTCAGACACTTAGCATCTGGTCTAATTTGCTGCCTGTATAATGTATGTCCTGTTCACTAAGGGCCACCCATGCCAGCCAAAGCTACAAGCAGACTGCACAGGCTGTAAAAAAGCAGCAAGAAGGTGTTTCCTCACCACTGCAGAGACAGGCCTTCTCCATGGGCCAGATGTAGGAGGAGCAGTGCTCACACGACTGTCGGATGCTCACTTGGTAGTTTGTGAACACATGGCCATTGTGTTCTTCGATCTGGTGAGACACAGAAGAATCTGGTGAACTTTCTTTGCCTTTTTAGAATTATTACTTTAAATAAAAGACTACCCCCTAGCTTTTATCTTCCACTTTGATTTTTTACCAATGCAGCTGAAGGTTTTGACCCTGACACCACATTTCACCCTGTTTTAAGGCAGTTGGGTGTGTTGGGTCATTTCAGTATTGATTTGCTGCCTTAGAGTTCATCAGAATCATAGAATTTAAGGGGCTGGAATGGAGAGATCATCTACCCCAACCCCCTGCCCTGGGCAGGGACATATCCTCACTAGATCAGGTTGCTCAAGGCTTATCCAACCTGGAATGAACACTGCCAGGGTTGGGGCAGCCACAGCCTCCCTGGGCAACCTGGAACAGTGTCTCACCACCCTTGGAGTAAAAAATTATTTTCTCACATCCAACCTTGACTTTCCCTCCTTCATTTTGAACCCATTTCCCCCGGTCCTATCACTGCAGTTCCTAACACAGAGTCCCTCTCTGGCTCCTTGTAGGCCCTTCAGATATTGAAAAGTTGCTCTGAGGTCTCCACACAACCTTCTCTTCTCCAGGCTGAACAGCCCCAACTCCCTCAGCCTGTCCTCATAGGGGAGATGCTCCAGTCCTCTTAGCAACTTTGTGGCCTCCTCTGGTCCTGCTCCAACAGTTCCATGTCCTTATATTGAGGGCACCAGATCTGTGTGCAGCACTCCAGGTGGGTCTCACCAGAGCAGAGTAATACATGACCTTCACTTTGCTATTAATATTTAGTAGCTGTTTTCCCTTAGACAGTCCATTAAAAGAAAGCCATTAGGTTCTAAAAGATGCTATGGAGAAGCAAGAAAATGTTTGAAGTACCACCTATCAGTGCAGAAAACCAAGATCTCTGCTTTATGGAAACAGCTTTACTTTCTGTCACATCTTCATGAAAGAGCTAAGTGGATTAGCATGCAAAACAAAACAGAACATCAGCACTAAATCAAGCTCTTCCCAGAGTACTGGTGCTCTGTGAGTGCACCTGAGGACTTGGATTATTGTAAGAAGAAAGCACTTACTGCACGATCTTGTTTTCGTTTCTTCTTCCGGGCTTTGGTTTGCTGCAGTGAGAGAAAAACTGCCATCAGCCTTTGAAATTCAGACATTCCATTCCCTTTGTCTTTCCTACTGAGTTTCCCAGACTCTGTCACCTCTTATCCTGCAGCTTCAGCTTGGTGTGAGGGTTGTCTGAGCTCACACTATCAACTTCCTAAAAACCAGCTGAGCTCACTGCCTGAGGACAAAGCAACTCCATCTCCCAAAGCTTCAGAGAACTCCCAGATTTTCATCAAAGAAAACGCACAAACACTTTCAGATTCTGGAATGTTAAGAGGAAGTTTAAAAACCCACAATGCCACAAAGGTGTATCAGCAATCAGAAGTTGTCACACACATGATATGTGTATGGAAAATGTTCCCCAAATTATAAACAATGCCATGGAAAAGGTTTTTGAGGTAACACAAGTCCCTTATGCTAAGAGAGTAACAAACCAGTAACAGGTAACTGTCATACCTTGGACTGCTCAGGTTCCTCTTTTTTTGTATATCCCCTGATGAATTCATCCAGAAGGGATTGAAAGAGATTCAAAACCAGCTTGACTTCTTTCTCTTCCCTTTTTTTGGCCAGGTTTGTAACTAGAAGCTGGTAATTTTCCACCAGATCTTTGTAGCCAACGTGGATTTGCCCATTCTAGAGAAAGGAAAAACACTTGTAAGATGAGTCTTTTTGGATACACTTCCATATTTTTAAGTGTTCAGGTTCAAAGGTGAGAAAGCAAAGTCATGATCAAAGTCAGAGATAACTGCCCATGACAGGAAGAAGTTAACACATTTCCCCGCTACACTGTGCAGCAACACTTGGCTGAGGAGAGGCAGTGTCAGAAGGATATTGGAAAAGCTGTTGGCACCTCTCTTTGGTGCTTAAACAGAGCAGCATTAAGAGGCTGAAGACAGCAAAATCCATCCATTCCTAAAAATAAACTTATGGCTGAGTGAATGAGAAAAGGGAAACAAAGCATCTGCTTAGGATTACAGCAGCACTGTAAAATGAGTCTCACATTCAGCTCTGAATTCTATGCTAAGCATTGCTGAACTGCTTTGCTGAAGAGCTGTTGGCCAAACCTTTAACCTGCACTCTCCATTTATTGCCTGCCAACTTCCACTTTATTCTACTTACAGGAGCAGAGTACATGGTCTTGAGGTTTCCTCTAAACTTCTCTGTGGCTTCGAAAAACAAACACTCGACACCAGATTTCTGGGAGCGCAAGTCATTGATCTGGAAGGCAAATACATCTGCATCAGGTTTCATTACAAGAACATCCAAGCAGGGTCAAGCTTCAGTTGCTGAGTTTAGTCATCTATGACCTTTCCAATTATTTAAACCAGGTTTCTTAATGCACTGTGATGATGATACAAAAGATCAGGCTGAGAGAGTTGGGGCTGTTCAGTCTGGAGAAGAGAAGGTTGTGTGGAGACCTCTGAGCACCCTCCAGGAGCTGAAGGGGCTCCAGGGAAGTTGGAAAGGGACTCTTTGTTAGGAGCTGCAGGGACAGGACAAGGAGCAACGGGGAGAAATTGAAAGAGGGGACATTTGGATTAGATTTTAGGCAGAAGTTTTTCCCTGTGAGGGTGCTGAGACACTGTCCCAGGTTGCCCAGGGAGGCTGTGGCTGCCCCAACCCTGACAGTGTTTCATTCCAGGTTGGATAAAACCTTGAGCAACCTGCTCTGGTGGGAGGTGTCCCTGCCCAGGGGATTGGGGCTGGATCATCTCTAAGCTCCATTCCAACCCCTTAACATCCTAAGAAACTATGAATAGGAGAGTTGGGTAGTTCAGCTCTACAGAACTCTAGTTCCATACAATTCATGTTTTGGGTTTTTTAATATTTTTGCTCCCCACTCATTTGTAAACAAATGAAGAGCTAACACAAATGCCACAGGTACTTAATGCAACATAATCCCTTCAGAGACCTAAAGAAAGGAAAAAGAACCTTAATAATGACCTAATTCAGCCAAACCAATTCCCCTTTGCTTCAAATGATAACACAAACTCACAACTAGAAAATTATTTCTTTCAAATTTCACACAAACAATGAACATAGACTTGAATTTCATCACAGCTGAGAACCTTTTACCTTGTTTAGAAGGAACTCATCAAGGTGTTTGAGCTCATTGGCGTTCGCAATCTCGCGGGCCATGGACGCTCTCCAGTTCTGAGACACACTCGAGACCTTGCTGATGGTTATGGTCCTGTTCTTCTTGGCTTTGCTGCTCTCCTTCCCGTGCCGCTCCCCTGCCTGGCCTGAGGAAGTTGGGAGAGAAGGGAATTTGTGCCTTAAAACAGAGACTGAATTCTGCAGAGCCATGCAGAACTTCACAGAAAAACCTGACACCAGCGTGCTGAGGGTTCAGCCACACCAACTCACCTTCTGAAGCTTTCTGGGTTCCTCCTGTGTCTGCAAAGAGGACACAAGATACTAGGGAAAGGCCATCTCCTTCCTCAATCACATCAGAAGTCTCCTTTGGAATTTTCTTGTCTGGCTTTTTCCCCAGAAGCCTCCGCAAAGGACTTTTGAAAGCAGACCTGGACACAAAAGCAGAGACAAGTCTGTCCTGTTGGTGATGGAAGTTGGCTCTGCTGTAGGAACCCACAACAGCATTACCCTCTACTGGGAATGTTTACTCTAAGGTCCAACCTGCAAAAAAACTGAGCAGCACAGAAAAAGGAGAGTGTGAAAGCACACCTGGACATTCTGCTGATTATTAGATCAGAGAACTTCAGCACACACAGAGCCAACACATCACAGAGCCAAAACACTCCTGGCTCAGGAAGGCCCCGAGGTGCAGAATGCCAGGAGGAGCAGCAGGCCAGGGAAACATCATTACATGCTTGCTGGGGTCTTGAGCTTCCCTCTTGGTATTGTATTACAGCACATAAACCTTTGATCTGAGCTATAAGTTGGTTCTTATTTTAAAAAGAACCAGTTCAAAGACAAGTGTGATGCAAGGAACAGAGAATCTGTGGCTCATCAGGGTCAGATATCATGCTTAGAGCAACACGAAGCAGCGACACAGCCACTCATGTAGCTGATGCCAACATGTGTCTCTCCCAATCAGTTTCAAGATGCCCAATTCAAGTACCAGGGGGGGAAAAAAAAAAATCTCCTTTTTTATCACTTTCTCCAAGGCAGCCCAGGCACACACACTCCCCACATACTTGGCATCTCCTTGCTGACTTGATGGCTGCACGGGAGCGACTGTGTCCGAGGTAGGTAAGTGGTCACTGGGCTTTTTCTGCACAGGGTATTTCTTGCTGCCTTTTTCTTCTTCTATTGTATCTGGGGATTGCTGCAGTAGAGAGGAGGAGTAAAAACCAGATATTGAGGGAAATAGATTCTTTCAATAGTTTTAAAAACCTAGCATGGTGAAAAACATTTGCTTCATCAGCATAAAACACTTCACCCAACAGACATTAGCTTACTAATCTGAGATCCAAGTAGATTTAATGCTTGAATCGAAGATTCATTTACTGAAATTTAAGCTTTCAAATTGTTGTATGGTATTTGCTGCTGATTTTTTTCATGTATAAAGGAGGATAATTAAGCATAGTATGCACAAGAGCATCAGTACCTGATTCATGGCAACAGTCTGGGCCAGTGTTGAGAGGTCACTTAAGGAAGCTGAACTCCCCTTCTTCCTGCAGGGATAAAAGATGAGCTTCAGAAGCTAAATAAAGTCTGTACCTCTTAATATTTCCCACCTTTTAAATAACCCACAGATCAATGTGTCATCTGAGAGAGAATCCTGATCAGCTCTTGCAACTCACTTTTAAATGCAAGACATCCTGGAGCAGTAAAAACCATGGGAATGGCAGATTTCCTGCCATTTCAGAAGGATGATGATTGCAAAGTGCAGGTAACTAAAACCTGGTTTTCAATGGATAAAAGACACATGAAAAACTCCAGATGCTACTTGAACTACAGCCCTGACTCTCATTTTAACTCTGCCAGGCAGGTTTTGAGTCCTTTGTGAGCTGCTGAAAACATTCTGCCCATACAGATTCCCTGCAGGACTTGGAGCCAAGGAAAAGCAGAAGTTGTTCACAGCTCCATTGGCTTCCCATAACATAGCCAGATGTTTTCCCTCTATTTTTAAATATTAGATATCTGTTCTCTGAGAAGTAAAGCAGAAGGAAGTTGCCCTTACTCTAGCTGATCCTGAGGAGACTTATCCACACGTGTCCTCTCATCCAGAGACTGACTCAGCATGTCATTCTGACCAGCATCAGACTGTCTCTTGCCTTTCCACTTCTCTCTCTTGTACTTTAGCTTCTCTGGGTCATCCACATATCTCTGGATTGCAGAAGAAGTGGGACTGTCCAGATCTTTGGTTGCCTTCTGCCCAAGACGTCTGTTTTTCTCTGCCCAGCTGTCAGCAGGACTCTGGAAGCTCCCAGTAGCAGACAGCTTGTTGTGAAGGTTCAGTGCAAGATTTGTTGGCCTTTCAGGGCAGTGAAAGCTTTGGCTGCCTTTTATTTGGTGACTTTGATTCCCTTGTGTTTGCACTCTATCACCTGCTGTATCACCCACTTGTGACACAGGTGGGTCAGGAACAGAACCACTTTCTTGGGTCTCACTTGATGGTGATGTGTCTGAAAGAGCTTTTTCTTCACTTGGACTTTTCTCTCCCTCGCTGCTTCCCTGAAGGACAGGATCTTGTGCTGTGGATTCCTCTGGCACTGGAACAACTTCCAGGGCCACTTCAGAAGCAGTTTGTTCCTCAGGACTCAGTGCAGATGGTCCTTCGAAGGACAACAGGACGTGCTTGTTCTGCAAGTCGTTGTGTTCCAGCCCCCTCTGCCGGCGGAATTCCCTCTTCTCCCGGCTCCTGGGCACCTTCTCCGAGCTCTCCATCACGTTCTTCTCGGGTAACACAACTTTCTCACCTGAGCTCTGGTTTTCTGCTTCTTCATTTGGAGCTTGATCTCTATCCCCAACAGCTTGATCCGGCTCCGACTCGTGTTTCACAGGCAGCTCAGCTGTTGCTGGTTCACTCTGCTCATCCTTGCACGTGTCAACCTCTTTGTCTTCATCTTCCTGCATTTCTCTCTGCTTTTCTTCAGCTTTCTGCCTCTCTGCAACCATTTTCTGATATCTGTTATGAATTTGTAAAATGAAAACACAAATGTTTAATGTCCAGCAGTCAAAAGAAGTTACCAACTGCTGAAATGTAGCCTGAATAGCAAAATGGACCCAAAGCACATCTACAGTCCATGTAGATGTAGAGTCCATGCATGGAGGTTTGCTTGTCAGGACTGGCAGCACCAGTGCAGCTCAGCTCAGCACAGCTCAAGCACTAAGCAGTTACTCAGTGTCCACACACCACTGGCCACTTCATCCTGACTGAAACAGCACATGGCAATAACTACCTTTAAGTTCACAGAATGTCAGGATGGTTTGAGTTGAAAGGGACCACAAGGCCCAACCACTTTCACCCCCTGCCATGGGTAGGAACACCTTCCACCAGCCCAGGTTGCTCCAAGCCCCATCCAACCTGGCCTGTAACACTTCCAGGGATAGAGGAGCCACAGCTACTCTGAGTAAACAACTTAGTAAACTCTTGCTAAGTCAACAACATCAGAGAGAAACTGAGCTTGGTGGGTGAAGCCAAGTGGCTAAACAGATGTTTCCAGGTCATATTGCTCCTTCTCCTTTACCTGTCACGCTGCAGGTGCCCTCTGAGCAGGGCCTGCAGGAGGCAAACCCTCCTCCTCTGCTGGAGGTAGCGGCTGCGCTCCCTGTGCCCTCTCCACGCAGACTGGATGGTGGTGGCAGCATTGTTCCTCTGCAGGGCCATCCTCATGTGGTGGGAACGCCAGTAGGCCTGGGAGGGGACATGCCTCGTGTCAGAGAGAACTGCTTGAAGGTGGGGAGAGTTACACGAGAGATTTTGTTAGGAAAAGAGATACCTGTATTACAATGGCTGCCTGCTGTGCCCGGAGAAAGCGTCTCCTTTCCAAAACCATCCTCAGCCAGCTCTGAAGGAGGATGATTTTCCTCATCACTTCTTTGTGTAGTGTATCCTGTAGTATCTGCCTTTCAGCCTCTTTCATGAAAACCTGTTCAGGTAAAGAAAAGTTCAGCAATAAACAGCTAACAGGAGCCTTTCAGCCCCCACAGGAGGTGCAATGAGGTAATGGCAATGCTTATCACTGCATCAAACCTCCTTGGCATACCCAAGTTCAAGTTCAAGTCCTTCTAAATCTCACAGTTTTGGTTCTAAAACATACCACAGTACTCACAGCCTTCAAACCACAGAATCCTTCTAAAATGAAGACACTGCCAAGAGCAACAACTTCCCAAACAATACCCACATAATACAGGTGTGTACTCCATTACCAAACCAAATCATTTGGCATCAAACCAAGGAGACAACTACCTGTGTCAATGTATCCAAGAGGTAAAATAGCTAATCCAAGTATGAAATGCAAAGAAGAGTAACACCAGTAAACAAACTGCACTGAGTTTTGCAGTGCACATCAGTGTTCCTTATTGCCTTACAGAAGGTTTCACAGACCTTGGTCTTCCCAATTTGATAGTAGTTTTCATTCAGTTTTAATTTATTCAAATAAGCACAAATGTCTTCCTTAGAGGCTTTGGCATTTTTGGGCAGTAACACCTGAAATTGGTCTATGAACTCCTGTGAAAAGCAGAGACAACAACAAGAGAACAAAGTTAGAAGTCAACTTGAATTTAGAGTTCCAGATTACAAATAGAAATCTAGTTAAGACATCTAAGCTACAGAGATCTGAAAGTACTTGTGTCTCACTCCAAACTGAGCTATTTCCCCTGCTCTGTAAACTGCAGGCTCCATTCAGAGTCCAGTCCATGATAAACATCACTGGATGTGATCTCTAAAGCTACACAGAATGTTTTATAGGGAACTAATTCCCATACAGAGACAGCACTGACTGCTCATACTTGTACACAGCCCCTGGAAAGAACAAGGAACTCACTGCTACATGACTCACACAGAAGTTTCATTACAACTTGTTACTGTGCAGGTTCTGTCAAAACTACAACGAACCTTTACAGCTCAACTCACTGAGCCTCATGTGAATCATAGAATCGACTAGGTTAGAAAAGACCTCTAAGATCATCAAGTCCAACCCTACTGTGGTCACTAGACCATGGCACTAAGTGCCACATCCAGTCTCAGCTTGAAAACCTCCAGGGATGGTGAATCCACCACCTCCCTGGGCAGCACATTCCAATGCCTGAGCACTCTCTCTGTAAAAAATCTCTTCCCAATATCCAACCTAACCCTCCCCTGGCAGAGCTTGAGTCTGTGCCCTCTTGTCCTGCTGCTGGTTGCCTGGGAGAAGAGACCAACCCCCACCTGACTCCAACCTCCTGGCAGGGAGTTGTGGAGGGTGATGAGGTCACTCCTGAGCCTCCTCTTCTTATGAAGAAACACTAAAGACTCTGAGGCAACAATATTTCTGAAAGCATAGCCCACTCCAGTTCCTCACCTACCTGGAATGTGTATTTGGCACTGTAGCCAGACCTTCTGATCCTCACAGTTTCCAGCATGCCAGTGTACCGTAACTGCTGAAGCACCAAGCTCTCATCAAACAGCATCTCTTTCTGGAAGAGAGCAGCAGACGATAGATGGTAAGAGCACAAAGAGCCCAACTGATGTCTGTAGGGCACAGCTCAGTTACCTCTCACCTGCACAGAGTGACAGTGACCAAGCTAAGAGATATCACAGCAGCCAGCTCAGCTCAGCTCAGCTCTGAGCATTACCTTCTCGGCGTTGGAGCGGATGCAGCGGATGAAGAACGGCTCAGCTCTACCCAAAGTCTCCAGCAACTTATTAAGTGAAGTCTGAAATGAAACATTCAAAAAACCATGTTTTTCTTCAGGTATCAGCATGTAGAGCTGTGTTTGAGAGCAGTACAGCTCCAGCCTCAGGAGCAAGATTGTTTCAGGTCTGCTGGCTGCACAAACCCTGTCCCATCCAACCAGAGGTTCTCCCACACTGCACAGCACATCCTTGTGTTTGCTTTCACCTTTTCTCAGGGTTTGCATATGCTGTAGCAGTAGAACTAGTTCTGCATACAAGGATGAGGCTGATTGGTACAGGGAACCAAGTGCAATCTCTAAATGCACTCTGACTTGAATCAAGCACTAAACCCTACTCCAGACACCCCCAGGAATAAACCCCACCACTTTTCAAAGCCAGCCCAGCCTAGATCAGCCCAGGAGGGTCTGTTCCCTGAGACCAGGGTGCACCAGAGGTGTCACCTACCTGGAACTGGGCACTTATGCTGGGGGGTTTCTTCTTCTTGTGCAAGTGCAAAAGGGACTTTGTAGTTCGGTCGTGCAGAGTCATGCTGACAATGAGCTTCAGAGACTTGGAATCCAGCAAGTTCTACAAGAAAGGTTTCCTAATCAACACAGTGCAAGACCCTTAACCAAAGGGGAAATATTTCTGTCTGCATCAAAATGAGTTAAGATCAAAACCAACTACTTCGAGCTCCACATCCAGTGACATATTACAGGATCACTGTGTCTGCTTCCCCATGACTTGGAGTGACTTTATGCATCTCCAGTCTAACTAAACAGAAGCCAAATCACTTTTTTTTCCCCTCTATTCAATAATTCTTATAAAAGTGAACATTTACCTATCCTTTAGCTTGCCAAAAAGGAATTTTGAGAGGATAAACATTACAACTTCCCTAACTAGGAAACACTATTTTCTAAAGTGAGTTCTGTCAACCAAAATGAGGTTCACAGTAAAAGAAATGAAACAACAAAAAGAAGAAAAATCGAAATTTTCTGAAGAACTTTACCTTGGGAATGATCTGCTTTTGTTTGGCACCTCTACTCTTCCTGTTAAAATATTAAAGACCATTTGTGAAAGAGATACACATGGCATTGGGTTATTCCAGCAAGATGCAAAGCTGGTGCAGTTGGTGAAGGAAGGTGAAGGACAGAGGAAAAGGAGCACAACAGCAACAGGTGTGTTCATGCATGTCTCTTGCAAGTGATCAGTGCAGGAAATGCAAACTGCTTTGCTGCAAGAACAACTGCTTCTCTGCAGTAAACTCTGCAGGTATTAGAAGTTTCACAAGTGAAACATTTTCTTTGAAGTTAAAGCTATTCAAAACTGCACTGTGGCACAGATTATTTTGGTAGTTTAGCTCACTGTAGTCATTGAACTCTCATGATAATGCTAAGGGACTGTCCAATTTGATTCAGAAGTTACTGCTGCTTGCAGCAGAACCCTGTGAAAATACTTAACTGCTCCCAGAAGGACAATGCATCCTCCAGCACCCCAACTCAGGAATCCTGGTGTGTCTGAGCTCATCCTCCTGGGCACAACACACCCCTCAGGCACTGCTCTCACCCACACACAGACAGGGAGCCAACAGTGGAAGCTCTCAGAAACCAGGCTGCAATTCCCATCCTCCTGTCTCTAAGCATGTTGATTCCACAGTGTAAGGCAAGTTCCTGCCCTGGGTCACCCAGTTTACATACACTGGAGCACAGACAGATTTTCTTTTACAGGTGCATAGAGCTGCACATGTAGAGATCTTAAGCCAGGAATGCATCCAGCAATAGCATCCTGAACTTCAGGAAATCATTCATAGAATCACAGAATCAACTGGGTTGGAAAAGACCTCAAGGATCTTTGAGTCCAACCCTACTGTGGTTACTAGACCATGGCACTAACTGCCACATCCAGTCTCACCTTGAAAACCTCCAGGGATGGTGAATCCACCACCTCCCTGGGCAGCACATTCCAATGCCTGAGCACTCTCTCCTTAAAAAAATCTCTTCCCAATATCCAACCTAACCCTCCCCTGGCAGAGCTTGAGTCTGTGCCCTCTTGTCCTGCTGCTGGTTGCCTGGGAGAAGAGACCAACCCCCACCTGACTCCAACCTCCTGTCAGGGAGTTGCAGAGGGTGAGAAGGTCTCCCCTGAGCCTCCTCTTCTCCAGGCTGAACACCCCCAGCTCCCTCAGCCTCTCCTCATGGCACTTGTGCTCCAGTCCCTTCACCAGCTTCACTATACCTTGTGAGAGATCTCACAGTTGGATGTTTTAGAACAACAAACCTGTGCTACATTTCAAACCAAGTTTAGGTGAGAAGTAGGTTGAACTTTCAGCTGATGCAACGAAACAACAAAGCATTTCCTACAGCCTGATTTTTAGCAGGAATCATTTTATCCTGAATTTTTTTCAGATTTTTTTTTGCAGAAGACAAGCTTGGGACAGGTGTATTTTTTTAGGGGCTGGAATAGCTGCTTGGTTATCGTTGCACTTACAGAGCAATACCCAGAGCACCAAACTCACGTGTGGTGGGAGGGGTGTTGCAGGCGACTGAGCGACCGAAGCAGCTTGCAGGGATCACCACCCTGCCAGGGCAGTCCTTTAATACTGGCGATGATTTGGTCATGCATCTCTCTAAAATGATCCACAGCAAAACAAAGGTGGCAAACAGAGATACACAGCCATGAGAGAATGGAGGGAGAAAAAAAAAAAAGGGAGTTCAAAACCCAAGAGATCCCATGACCAAGTGGTGCTCCAAAACAGCAGCAGGTCAATCCCAGGCTGCTTTTTCCTAAGCATGAATGATTCTCATCTCCAGTCAGCACTTTTTGCTCCATCAGTGCCCTAAAATTTAGTTGCCATGGTCTCATTCTAAACTGACTCTCTAGTTTACCTTTGCATGTAATTTTTTGAGCCATCAGTTCAGAAAAGAGAGGGAAATTTAGCACAATGGACTTAATGGGCAAAGAACTTTTGTTTAAGCCATTTCAGACAGATAAAACCTTCTTTGTAATGAGCAGTAAATGTTTTTATAGAGAGATTTGACTATTAAAATGAAGCTGCTTCAACAGACTTATACCAGAAAAGTTACAAATTAGCTGTCACAGGAATAACTCGACGAAATTCTGGTTTTCATTTCCATTTCCAACTCATTCATGTTTAGCTTTCCAAGTCAGCCTGGGATGGTCCCTAATTCGTGGCAGATTCCATTCTTTAAGCATGCATCGTGCTCGTGAGCTGTGTGTCTTGGCACAGAACTTACCTTCTTTACTCTCCAGAGAGGCACAAACCAAAAATAACAGAAGTGTCAGACTCACTTCTGACTGTTAGATGCTCTCACCATTCTGAGCTGCTCCCTGAGGCAGCAGCACTGTTACAGACAATTGTTGCTTCCCTTGGTACCTCTGAACGTTTTTGCATATCAAGATTTGGTTTCAGACATTCCAAAGAAACAGATCTGTTATGCTATGACCAATCCCTTCACTCAAATTGGATCTTTGGTTCTTAGTTGCCATAGTGGCAGAGGTTGTCCAGGATGGAGTAACCAGGAAGCAACACTGGAAGTCACTACTTGATGTGCTCCATAGCTTCACTGTTAGAGCATGCACAGTCTGTCCCTGAAATGTGCCTCCCTGGCCTGGAAGTGCAAGGCCCTAGTGCTACTTACTTCTTGTTTTCATAAAAAGAAATGATGTCTTCAAAAGCATTTATAGCGAAATCCTCAGAACAATCAAATGAGAAATCAAGCATTGAGCAGCTGCAAAAGGAACACGTATAAAGCCTAAATACTCCATACAAAGGAAAATCTGCCTAGAGAGCAACAGGTGGAGGCAGTTCTGGAGGACCTGCCCTGCCTCCTAGTCGAGCACAGGGCTGTGAAAACACGAGTGCTCCTCTGAGCCCTCCAGTGGCACAGCCTGGCTGCAGGGGAACAGACAATGCTGAAAGCAATGAAGGACAGAGAACTCAAAAACCCAGTGGTAAATGGAGCTGAGGCTCTCCCCAACATGTGGTAGCCTCGAGTCTTAGATAAAATAAGCTAGAGAGTTGTTTTGATAGCATGAAAAAGGCCAAACAAAACAAACCAGATGAAATCCAACTTGCTCTCCTTGTGGAAAGATCTAGGTGACATTTGGTATATGGAAATACAGCTCAGCCATTTAGCTCTTTTCCCTGCAGAGGTTAAGGATGTGTTTCTCACCGATAAGTTTTATCTACCGGCGTGTTGGATCTCTGGAGCTCTCCAAGGGGAACTCTGGGTCCTTGACGTACCACTCCTGTTAGGAAACAACCAACAAGCTGCATTTTGACAAGGATATGAGCATAACAGACCAAAAAATCCCCACCTAATAGATAAAATATCTATCCCAGGGCCTGGAGTTTTTATCTAGTACTTTGTCAAGCTTTGCTTCTCATTAGTTTACTGCTTTACTTCTCACTACTTGACCACATTGCTTCTCAAACTCCCTGCTCCTAGAAAGCAAATTGCAGCTGCTCAGAAAAGATCCTGAAAATTAGCAGTTAATCCTGAATACTCCTTTGAAACTCCAAAGAGGTCTAAGAAGATCAAAACTAGTGATGAGAATGCATAGCAGAATGAGCACCAAACTAGTGATGAGGATGCATAGCAGAATGAGCACTATCTCCCCTGACTTGTACAAAAAGAGGTGTTCAGATTTGGCACAGCCTGCTGGAAATGGGGCAGTCTTAGAGGAGCGAGGCTGAATGACTTGAGGGAAAACATTGAACCATTTTCACTAGTTTTCTCCTTAGCATCAAACATCACATCTGGTTGACCTTATCACCCTCCACAACTCCCTATGCATAGCAGAATGAGCACTATCTCCCCTGACTTGTACAAAAAGAGGTGTTCAGATTTGGCACAGCCTGCTGGAAATGGGGCAGTCTTAGAGGAGCGAGGCTGAATGACTTGAGGGAAAACATTGAACCATTTTCACTAGTTTTCTCCTTAGCATCAAACATCACATCTGGTTGACCTTATCACCCTCCACAACTCCCTGCCAGGAGGGGAGGTTCAGGTGGGGGTTGGTCTCTTCTCCCAGGCAACCAGCAGCAGGACAAGAGGGCACAGACTCAAGCTCTGCCAGGGGAGGGTTAGTCAGACTAGTTCCGTCAAGAAGCACCAACTAACTGCACAGTATTTGCAAGTGTCTCCAGAGCTTTTCCTGCCATACCTGAAGTCTTCTGAGCTCTCTGGCGTCCACATTCTGCAAAGACAGCCATGGCTCTGACGGCTGCGCGCAGCACGGCCCAGCGGAACACGGCCACGGGGTCCATCCCGATCAGCTCCCGCACGTACGCGCTGTCGCTGCCGCGCAGCAGCGCCACGATGTCTGGTCTCATGTAATCCATGTTCTTCTCCCTGAAATCCTGCATGACATGCACAAGCTCTCAGGGAAGCTGTGTGTTTTGACCCAATGTGTTAATCACAGTTCAGAGTAGCTCATCGTTCTCATTAGTCCTCACAAGTGCCATGAGGAGAGGCTGAGGGAGCTGGGGGTGTTCAGCCTGGAGAAGAGGAGGCTCAGGGGAGACCTTCTCACCCTCTGCAACTCCCTGACAGGAGGTTGGAGTCAGGTGGGGGTTGGTCTCTTCTCCCAGGCAACCAGCAGCAGGACAAGAGGGCACAGACTCAAGCTCTGCCAGGGGAGGGTTAGGTTGGATCTTAGGAAGAGATTTTTTACAGAGAGAGTGCTCAGGCATTGGAATGTGCTGCTCAGGGAGGTGGTGGATTCACCATCCCTGGAGGTTTTCAAGCTGAGACTGGATGTGGCACTTAGTGCCATGGTCTAATGATCACAGTAGGGTTGGACTCGATGATCCTGGAGGTCTCTTCCAACCTGGTTGATTCTAGGATTCTATAGGGAGTGTTACCCTCCAGTCTACACCACCACCCATAAAAGAAACCCAAAATTATCTGAGAGCACTTGTGATCCAGCCCATTCTCAGCAAATTTGCTACACCCTGACAACAAACCCTCAGAAAGGCAAGAAAACACTTTTGTGCCCATCACAAATCTATCACCTACCTTGATCTGGTATTTCACTTTCCCAGCAAAGTGGCGAATGATGAAAGCAGGTTCCATCACTGGGGTCCCCACAAAGAACTTGTTCTCCTCGTGCTGCTGTTTGAATTTTGCCAGCAGAGTTTGGTTGGTGGCATGTGGGAAACTAGGAATACAAAACAAGAGGTCAGCTATTTCTCAAGCACAGACATGTTTATTAGGGTGACAGAGGGAACACCTATTGATCCTTGTGAAGTACTAACTGACCAAGATATCTATGCTTTGATTGAGACACACCTGCTTGGAATTTTACAGGTGGGTTTAAAGTTCTGGGCCCAAACCAAACAGCTCCACACACAGCAGAATATTCTGAGGTTTCAAGTGTATGTCAATGTTTCCTCCCACATCATCAGACAAGTTCAGTTAGCACCACGTGAACTATTCACATTTGCTACTTAATATTCCAAAGACTTCCATACACACAGCTTACTTCAATTGTAATTCCAGGGCAAGCCACAAACATGGAAGTTTCTTAATTGGCTTAAGCCAAACTTCAGTTTTAGCAACAATTTATATCACCACCATATCTGGAGTCATTAGAAGCAAACTGCAGTGTAAATCAGAGTCACAAGTGACCCTTTGCTTCCCACAACATTCCTCTCCTTTTTCCAGGGCTGTATTCCTGTTCCCTTGCACAGTCCTTCCCCTCCTCCCTGCCACACATGTTTTTTTCAGAAGATGTTTGTTGCTTACTTGCTTTCTTCATCCAGAAGATAGAAGAGGCCAGTGGGCTTCTTGCTGATTAAGTGAATGCAGGCCACATTATCAGTATAGTCAATATTGTGCCAAGTGATCCCTTCACTCTTATATTCCTCCTGTGTAGCTCAAGAAAATTCCCTCATCAGTACAGTGCCCTGACCTTTGATGTCCTGTGGTCTAAAGTGCTTAAAACACACGGTCTAAGTGCTTAAAACACATCCTGGAACAGCTACAGCAAGTGGAGTTTGTTAGTTCAGGCAGCAGAGACAAAAATAAGGCAAAACTACAGATCAGAAGAGGCAGAGTGGGGCAGACCAAAGGTCCCTCTGGGCATGTTGCTCAACAGTGCATGTTTGGGGTCAAAGCAGTTCAAAACCAAAGCAGTGACTGTTTTGCTGTGCTCTGCCTTCCCACAACCAGCAGCCTACAAACCTGGAGCCACACAACACCTACAGCATGGCAATAAACCCTGGGCAGACATACACTGGAGGGGTTTGAGTCTGTTTTTCTCTTCCCCAGTTCTTGCATTATGGGAAGTGACAAATATTGGACACCAAGTTCCAGAGTTTCCAAACTGCAGTGTCAGAAGAAATACCAGAAGTTTCAAAACAGGCACTTAAGCCCTTCACAGCAGCACCAGAACTTCCCTGAGGAAGCAATGGATATTGCTTAGGTTCAGAAAATTTGGAGCTCTTCTGCTGAAATGACAATGCATCAAATGCTCAACAGGACAAACTTCCTACTAAGAGGCAGAACCCAAACATCAGATTTTCTTAATGCTGGAAATGCTCACAGGAACCAAACTAAGGAGAAGCTATTACAGTGTAAAAAAAAAAAGGTATCACCCAGAAAATTAATAGTTTTATATTTAACAAAGGACAAAGAGCTTCTCTCACTGCTCCAGATGCTGCTGCTGATAAATGCAGAGTCTTCCAGTAGGTAGAAGTGAGTCTGCCCAGCACAGCCTGCTGTGCCTCCCAGCACTGAAATGCCATTGCCAGGGACAAAAAACCCTTTCTTTAAAGAGATATAGAGATCCCCCTGAGGGCCCTTGGGCTGCCAGAGATACAGGAAATGGATCACTCGAGGATTAAGCTTATTTGGAAAAATGGCATTTTAAAAAAAAAAAAGCAGACAATGGAACTATTTACTCTAATCAGCCTGGATGGGCAGTTCTGTCCTAAGTCACAAACCAGGACCTCCACACCATGTTTACATATGAAGTTTGTATGTTTGGTCATTTTGTTTCCTTTAAAATGCTTGTTTAAAGTTATCTGTGTGTTGTAGACCAAATACCACATAAGACAGGGTGACTTTGCTCTCAGAAGTGACCTGAGAGCTACACTTTCACACAAAGCAGAAAAAAAAAAAAATCTATGTCTAGAGCAAAACCCCCAAAACCTCAGCCTAGAAACAGGATCTGTTGGCTCCTGCAGCACTCAGTGCTCTGTAAGATGACACTGTCTGCAAACAAGTAAATTAACCCAGGAATATCAGGGTTTCATGACTGCTGCCAGGACCAACAGGTTCTTGTATCCCCTAAGTGCAGTTGTGGGGCAGAAGCAATGAGGACTGAACAAGGTACATGCTGATACAAGTAGGAGAAACTGTTTCCCAATCATTAAAACAAAAACCTGCATCAAACACCTAACCACAGACTTTCAAAGTTCACATTTTCAGCTGACTCCTGTCTGGGATCACCTGGAGGTTGTCTTAGTTTTTGCACTCAGACACTGTGTCAGCCAGAACTCACTGCCATCAGTGCATGAGGAGCACTAAACTGTACAGAGCAAAGCCACTACCTCCAAACAGTAATAAGCAATAATAAAAGAAGAAATAATTTAAAAAAAAGTAAGACTTTTGGAAGTAGTCAAGCAATTTTGCCATGGGGTTTTGCAGAACAGAGGCTAAGTTTGCCTAAGATAAGAGCACTCAATTAAACAAAAGGATTTTATTTCTCTGACACTAATTTCTTACCTGTTCCAATTTGAAAATGTGCTGATTGAAATAATACTGGAGCTGCTCATTGGCATAATTTATACAGAACTGCTCGAAGCTGTTGGTTTCAAAATCTTCAAATCCAAAAATATCAAGCACACCAATGGACAGACACTGGAAGAAGATGTGGAAACCTAGTTAACAACCCGTCATACAGTGCTTAACCCCCAAAAGCTCAGCAGTGCAGAGAGCCCTGCAGTGTATGCTCATAGACTCTGAATATTTAACAGCTCTGGCTGTTGTGGAAACAGAGATGATTTAATATCACCAAGGAATTCACCATGGTCTTCAGAGGAATCAAAATTTATCTCAGATTCCTGAGCACACCATCTCTGGCACTGACTGCTAGCTCTGAATACACAACTGCCTGCAAAGATTTCTTGTGGTGAGAGACTTACTGTAACAGATTCCTCCATGTCCTTCTTATTGAGAAGTGCATGATTGATTCTGAGAACGATCCAATCAAACAGAGCACTGTACAAGGACTTGGCCATGGAATCACGAGCTGTTATTGCCTGCAGACCAGAGAGTTCAGAACTTGGTTTAAAACAAGCATTTCTGTTTCAGAAACAGAGGTTACGACCCCAGCAGAGACAAAGAAACCACAATTTTCCTTAAATGCTCAGTTCTAACTGCCCAAACATCCCTCAAGTGGACCATGTTAGCTTTTTTTCATCCAGAAAAGCAAGGTCCAGTTATTTCAAACCTTTCTACTAGTGCTTTTACTCACCTCATTGAGACTATATGGCAAAATGAGCTTATCATTAGCAGTCACAGTTTTTCTTTTCGTTAGCACTTCTACCAGGATTTCTCGTTTAACCTTCAAAACAAGAGAGAAAAAGAGTATTGTCATCCTCAGACTTCTCAATGAATGATATAACAGCAATAGAGGACATACAACTTCCTCAGAGAAGCCCAAACTCTTTGACAACAGCCACATTTATCATTCATTAACAGCTTTGCAAGTTCTTCTAATTATTCTCAGCTTGGATTCATTCAGATGTTTCCCATGGTGGCAAAGAAAACATCTCTGCTAAACCTATTGCTGCTCAGCTCTGTGTTTGGTGAGTAAACACATTCTACTTCCATGCTACAGGTAACATTCCATCTCTAACCCAAATAACTCCACCAATTTAATCTGCTTCCCCTCCCATAAGATAAAGACTGTGGCAGTGCCATAAAGGAGATCTCGATACAGCAAATGGGATACTCAGTAAAATGCTGAGGCAGAGCATGACAAACAGGTGCAGCAAATGTTAAAGAGTAATACTCTACTTTCAGCAGCTGAGAAAGAATGTCCAACACTTCAGGAGGTCCAACTTCCAACCCTTCGTCCCGACCTGTGGCTTTCTTCTTGTATGTGACATTGCCCAAGTAAAGAATAGCTGAAAGTATTGAAAAAATCCTAAGGAAGAAAAATGGAATTTTAGCACAACTCTTCTTATGAGTTCATTACAACAGACCCAATTCTACTGCAAGAATTGGTCTGAAAGCTCTCCAACACTCAGCTCTGCTCACTGCCTGCTGA